CCTGCTGCGCTCCAGTGCGTGTACATTTGGTGTTCTGCTACCCTTGGTTCACGTGCCACTGACAATAATGAATGTTTCGGAAATCACCAGAGGAGAACGCAATTATTACTCTAAGTGCAAAAAAAAAAAAAGCTTGGCTTTAATTTCTGTTTATTCAGGAGATTAATATATATTTCCTCCATCTCACCCCTCGCAGACCAAGTTGCGGCAGCACGGGACCGGAGACCTGGGGGTCCCGCAAGACACTTTCCCCTGGCCTCCCAGGACCCTGTCTCCTGCCGCTCAGGGCGGCGTGGGCAGTGCTCATCCCCAGGCACCTCCGGGTAACTCTCACTAGCAGCGAGTGAGTCATGCTCCTGGTGTGGCTCTGGAGAAAGGTAGCCCCGCTCGTGCTAGCCTGTGCTCCCGCGGCTGCTGGGCGAGCGCGCGCGCGCGCACGGTTTCCCCGCGCAGTGATGTGGCAGCAGCGGCAGGTCGGATCACGTTGCTGGCCCTGTGCTGGTACCCGTTTGAGAGAGGATTAAGGAGGGAGGCTTTGGAGGTGCCAGCGGTAGTAAACGTGGGCTCGGCACACTCCCGGCGTGGCTTATCGCACGGGGGATGGGGGCTCAAAGAAAGAACGTTAGCGTCACCAGAGGCGCAGAGGGGCGGCGGAGTTTCGCCAGAGAGTGATAAATGCTGCATTGCTTTTCTGTGGCGGCCCCTCTCGTGCCACCCCCTCCACCCTCCCTACCCCCGCTCTCTCCTCGCCGCGTTCCTCCGCAAGCACAAGAGGCCCCAAACGTCGTCATCTGCTGCTGTGATTAGTGGCACCGCAATTCCGGCTGCTGCGGGAAGTTTAGGTGGCCCAGGGACAGTGCGTCTCCGAAAGGGATTAGGATTGCGACATTCTGACCCAATAATTACATTTTCATTTATCTGAAATCCCTCGTGGAGCTGATTTCAAATTGCCCTTTTTGGGGCAACCTCCAACCCGCGCCAAGGGTTCTCCCGGGCCACTGAGCGGTGAGCAAACAAGTCTCCAAAATTTCCTTCGGAACTGAAGTTTACCCACCGCGAAATCTCTCTTGTCATTCTCTAATCCAAATCAACAGCCCATCGGTAGAAAAGCAAAAAGCCACGTTCACGTTTCTGCACCGTAATGACGACCGAACCGCGGGAGTCGCGTTTCCAAGCCAAGGAAGCCCCGGCTGCCCCGCGCCCCGGCCCCCTCCCCCCTCAGATTGCATCGCCTTTGGGAAGATGAATAGCTTGGCCGAAGTTGTTTTTCCTTTCCGGTGGCCCTGATCAGGTGTCCCCGCCCCCTCCCGCCGCCGCTCGCCTTCTCCCGACGCCCCCTCCCGGCCCGGCCCCTCCTCCCCCGCCCCCCTCCGGGCTGGACCGCGGATGGTACGTTCCGCACGTGAGCTGGGTGCTGGTCTGGCCGGCGACGCGCGTGCCCTGTGGCCAAACACTGCCCGGAGTGAGAGCAAACTACCATCGCAGTGGGGCCGGCGCGAGTGTGTGTGTGCGTGTGTGCCAGAGAGCAAGCGACCGCGGGGGGGTGGGGGGACCAACTGCTTCACACTTTCGACACTGCACTGAAGAGGGAGAGCTAGAGAGAGAGAGACTGGAGACGCACCGATCCCCCCCAAGATCTCCCAAGGCTACCGTCCCACAGATTATAGAACAGAGACCCCAAAATCGAAACAGAAGAAACAAACAGCGATTGAACATGGACGAAGGAATTCCTCATTTGCAAGAGAGACAGTTACTGGAACACAGAGATTTTATAGGGTAAGGTGCAAGCACCCTTGCGAATATCTGTCTGGGCTTCGGTTAGATTTTTTTTTTTTCCTCCTCCAGAAAGTGGTATGGAGCGGATAAGGGCAGAGCCCCTCCCGGAATGGGTGCCTGATGATGATTTCTGTTTTGCAGACTGGACTATTCTTCTTTGTATATGTGTAAACCCAAAAGGAGCATGAAGCGAGACGACAGCAAGGTAAGTGTAAGTTTCCTATGTTTCCCATAACCTGCCTGGATAGTTAATTAGGGCCATTGATTTCACAGTGAAGCTCTGCCCGCAAATATATTCCAGCCTGTGAGCTTTCCCAACTGTGAATTTTAAGTGGCTTTCTGGATACTCTCAGGGGTATATTAAACATCATACCTGAATTTAAATTGCATTTCAAGAACAGTCCAGAGGAAAGAGGTTTCTTGGGCATAGTTCTATCACATAGTATGTTGTGGAGGGGTGGGAGTGGGAGGATTGCTGTGTCCAGTGAATGTTTAGCTTATTGTTTTCTCTCTTCCACGACACTTATATTAAGGATACCTACAAATTACCGCACAGATTAATAGAAAAGAAAAGAAGAGACCGAATTAATGAATGCATTGCTCAGCTGAAAGATTTACTGCCTGAACATCTCAAATTAACAGTAAGATGCACATTTTCATTCTTTGCTGTATCTCCAAGGGCGTTATAATAGCCCGGTACGACTTACAGAGATGTAAGAAAAAATGTAAATATTAGAGGCCTGACTTAAAACTTGTTCTATAGTGTACAGTTTCCCAGTCTCAGAATGGGTGTTTCAAGCTGAAGGCAAGAAAGCATTTATAACCTGTCTTAAGGAAAGCTCAAGAAGTGTAAGAATAGTAGTTCTTTCAAAGTGCTTGCCTAAGTTGCTGTGCTGAATGGAGAGCCATCAAGCCAAATGTGTGCTTTTAAGTAACCAAGTGCCCCCTTCTCTTTTGCACCACTGCAGACACTAGGGCATCTGGAGAAAGCGGTAGTCTTGGAATTAACTTTGAAACACTTAAAAGCTTTAACAGCCTTAACCGAGCAACAGCATCAGAAGATAATTGCTTTACAGAATGGTAAGTCAGTTCAGGGAGGCCCGTTAGCCTGCTGAAGCGGGGCAGCCCGCAGACAGCACCCCCACCCCTTCAGTAGACTCACTCTCACTTGTGAAAATTGCTTATACTTTCCCTTCATTGGCAAATGCCCATTTCCCGAAGCATCCTAGAGGCTTTCAGCTGAACCCGGAATCAGATTTTTATTTAAAGTGGCGGTTGCGCCCTCTCCACTTAGGTTTTTCAGCTGGGAGGACAGCGCTCCCCCCCACACACAACCCCCGCCGCCCCCCCTTCTCTCGGCAACCGGTGGATTATATCACTCGAATACTGAGGAAAAAACGAGATCACTTTAGTCAATGTAGGGCCCACGTGATAAGCAGATGTTTTAACGTCGGTATTTTTCTTCTTGCCTCCATTCCTGTCCCTACCCCCCACCCCCTGTTCATCCTAGGGGAGCGATCTCTGAAATCGCCCATTCAGTCCGACTTGGATGCGTTCCACTCGGGATTTCAAACATGCGCCAAAGAAGTCTTGCAATACCTCTCCCGGTTTGAGAGCTGGACACCCAGGGAGCCGCGGTGTGTCCAGCTAATCAACCACTTGCACGCCGTGGCCACCCAGTTTTTGCCCACCCCCCAGTTGTTGACTCAACAGGTCCCTTTGAGCAAAGGCACTGGCGCTCCCTCCGCCCCCGCCCCCACCGGGTCCACGGCCGCCCCCTGCCTGGAGCGCGCAGGGCAGAAGCTCGAGCCCCTCGCCCACTGCGTGCCGGTCATCCAGCGGACTCAGCCCAGCGCCGAGCTCGCCGCGGAGAACGACACGGACACTGACAGCGGCTACGGCGGAGAGGCCGAGGCCCGGCCAGACCGCCAGAAGGGCAAAGGCGCAGG